GGGAGGGCCGGGTGTGATGAGCACCCTAGGAAGCTCTTCTGGCCGGGGATGGGGTGCAGGGGCAGGCGGGGTGGGGGAGGGGGGAGGAGGAGGGCTGCAGGGCCTATCACCACACACCTTCACCGTGTCCAGGGGGTAGCCCACAGCAACACCGCAGACGCCTGGAAGGAAACCAGAGCTCGGGGTGAGGACAGCGGGAGCAGAACCCTCCTTGTCCAGTGCCTCATCAACAGGAGAGCCACCCTCTTCTGCAAACGAGGCAACGGAGGCTCCGAGAGCTGTAGGGACTCCCACCTGGCTGCTGGCGATGTCTCCTTCCCTGAGTCTTGGCCCCCAGCATGCTCCTCGCCCTGCCTCTGGGGCCATGTTTTGGGAGAACTTTTGGTCTGGCACTGGCTGGGCCTGTCCCAGGCCAGGCAGCGCTGGCCCTCAAGCCTCAGGCTGCGACCAGTTTGTCTGGGGGTGGGAGAGCCCAGCCCCCCCAGGGCTCCATGAAGGGCTCTTGGAACCGCGAGCTGTGGCACAGAGTGGACGCAAGGCTTCCTGGACCCGGGCCCTCTGCCCCGCAGAGCGGGCTGGTGCCACCATCCTGTTTCCGTCTCCTTTCCTGACACCAGGGACTCAATGTCCAGGCCCCAGCACTGCCATGGGGAAGCTGGAGAGTGAGCAGACAGGTCCCTGGGGATGGGTGGCGAGGGCCATGTGAGGGCAGTAATGCTTTGGGGTTGGGTCCTATTTACTCTGTATCCCAGGACTCAATAAACATGCATGAATGAAAGAATAGAGTGAATGAATGGATGAAATGAAGTAAAAGACTGACTGACTTGAAAAGAATTACCCTCCTTGACCCTCACATAAACCTCAGCAAACTCCTATTCATCCATCAAAGCCCTCCCACAGCACCACCTCCTCTCCGGAGCCCTCCCTCACCCCTGAGCTCAGGCTGCCTCTGTTCCCAGAAGCCTGTGGATCAGCGCCCCTGTCCCACAGCATGCCAGCTCTGCCTCCAGAGCTGGAGTCAAGGACAAGGCCCACGTCTGTTCCTTGTGACGCGGGACCCAGCACAGAGCAGAAGCCCTTTCTGCCAGGCCTTCCGTGGACTCCAGAGGAAACATGTGACATCCAAGATCCCTTCCCGGCTGTGTGATCTTGGGCAAGCCAAGCCCCATTTCTGAGCCTCCTCCTTAGGGGGCTGATGTCCAGGGCAGCAGCTGGCCTCAGTCCCTGCACACAGTAGGACCTCAGCAAGCCTCTGGATGGGGCCAGAGCCCTGGTCTCCCTGGCTTGGCGCTGCTCCCCTCCCCTCCCACACTGTTCCCAGAAGTAAGGACAGGAAGGAGCCCACTGCTGTTTCACACGATAAGCAAGGCCAAGGGTGCCCGGCCCAAAACAGCCTCCACCGCCTGCAAGGTGGGCGGCTGGGAGGATCCGGAGCCCGAATGAGCCTGTTTCCCAATGGGCCAGTTACCTGTCTGGGTCTGTCTTTCGCAATGAGGCCTTTCCCCAGAAATAAAAACAGTTGCACACGGTGGCTGGGCAGGCGGGGCTGGGGCGGGGCTGGGGCGGGGACGGGCCCTCCCCTCCTCGGCCCACAGCTTCCAGGCAGCAATGTCCTCACTGTCCACCTCTCCTGGAGCTTCTGGTCCTTTCCCGGCTCAGCCAGTCCTCTGTGCTGGTCACTCCCAGCCTCCTCTTGGCCCAGGCAAAGACCACCTCTGCCCCTGAGCCCCCCATCCCAGAACTGCCCCTCAGCCTCCCCAGCTGGGCCCCCCAGGCCAGTGCAGACTCACCCCCACCCCCCCCACCTGCACCCAGCCCTGTGTTGCCACTGGAGTCTCCCAGGAACCAGCTCTGTCCTCCTGTCACTCAGCACCCAGGCCCACACCAGGTCCCAGCCACTTCTGGGGTGACTCCTCAAACCCCACGTCTTCCAGAGGCCCCCCTAGGACAGAGCATCCCCCAGCTCCTCCAGGTACCCCCAGGAGCAACAGTCCCCTACAAGGCCCTGCTGCCCTGTCCTCTACCTCCGATGGCTCCAGCAATAAAATCCATGGACAACGTGGGTGTCCCTCCTGAGAACAGTCCAATGTCACCACCAACAACCGGTCAGGTCCTCTCAGACCTTAAATACCTGCAGTGGGGGAGGGGGTGGAAGCAGGTGCTGCTGGCCAGTGGCCCAGAGGCAGAGGTCATGCTGGAAAGCAGGCAGGTCGATGCCCACCTGGATTCCCGCCCACCCCGCCCCTAATGCCCCTTGTCCCAGTGCCCTCAGGACCCAGCTGTGGGCAGTAGAGAGAGGCCACAGGAGCATCAGGCTCTGGGGACACAGGACCACTGTCCACAACCTGCAGGCCTGGGCCCCAGACCATGTCCAGACACCTCCGGGGAGGTCCAGGAACGGGGCTGTGATGTCCCTGCCCCTCCAGCCCCAGCTCACACCTCATTGGTGTCTTGGGCCTCCCTGACTCCCCTGGAGTGATTCCTGCTCAGGAAACCCACAAAGCTCCCTCACTTGCCCTGGCCAGTTTGGCTCAGTGGACAGAGCGTCGGCCTGCGTACTGAAGGGTCCCAGGTTCGACTCCAGTCAAGGACACGTACCTCGGTTGCAGGCTCCCAGCTCTGGTCGAGGGCATGCGGGAGACAACCAATCGATGTGTCTCTCTCATATTAGTGTTTGTCTCTGTCTCTCCCCCTCCCTTCCACTCTCTCTAAAAATCAATGGAAAAAATCCTCGGGTGAGGATTTAAAAAAAAAAAAAGCTCCCTCACTTATTCATTCAACAAACACTATCAGAGCTGAGGCTGCACTGAGGCAAATAAGGCCCGAGCCCAGTCCTCAAGGCGTCTAGTTGACAGGGAGGGGTGGGGGCATGGGCCACTGATGCCTGGCACCCAGAAGGCTGGTCAGGGCCCTCCTGGGAGCAGCATGAACACCAGCCGCCCACAGTTGGTTCCACCCCCTTCACACTGCCCTGGTCCCACACTGTCCCTGCTCCCAGGGCCCCAGTGAAGTCTGCCTCCACTTGAGTCCCCCACCCCAGCAAGACCCAGCGCTGAGCAGAGCTTGCTGAGCAAGGAGACCACGCCCTGTGAGGCCCACTGCTGGGCTGGCCGTTTGGCCTCTAACCAAACTAGAAGCTGCTCCAACAAGAGGCCGATTCCATCGGCTCGTCGCTCGAAATCATTGCAGCCCTGCGAGGACCCTGAGGCTCAGAGAGCCGTGAACTTGTCCAGGATGTCCCCTGACCAGAAACCTGGCCGGACCGGGGACGGTGGCCCTCAGGCAGGGCCACGTGTCCTGGTGGGTGGACTTGTAGGCCAGCCCTGAGCAGGCTGAGAATTGACAGAGGGCAGCCTCGCTGGCGCCTGCCCAGCCATTTTTGAGTGGAGGACACGAGTTGCCAGTAGCAATTGCCACGGCAGAGGGCAAAGGGCAGGAGGTGGTCCGTCCAAGGCCAGTTCTGATGCCTGTCCTGGACTTTAGAGAGAAGCAGCTCTGTCTGGTTAGGAGCCAAGCTGCCTGTGTTCAGATGCCAGCTCTGTCACTCATGTCAGCTCTGAAACCTCGGGCAAGCTCCCTGACCATTCTGTGCCTCCGTTTCTGCATCCACGAAATGAGGATAGTACCTGCCTCACGTCTGTGACCACTCAGGGCAAGCTCCAGTGGAAGTGGCCGGCCAAATGCAAAGGCTGCATTAATAGGAGCATAGGTTCTAGAAGGAAGGAGGTGACAGTCCTGTTATGAGCAGGTCAAGTACACCTGGAGCTTAGGCTCATTTGCAGATGCTAATGAAGGCCAGTACCTTGCGTGATGAGGGAGCTTGAGGAATGTTGTCTAACTGACAGAACAGGGAGCTGTTTAGTCCCATGATTTCTGCAGAGCATCTAATGTGGTAAGTACCACTCACCCCCTGGAACCTGAGCCAGGAACCCAGAAATTGCCCTGAATGCCTTTCCCCCTGCAGCCTACATCCAGTGAGGCACCCAGTCCTGTTTATGTTCAGATCCATTTCACAATCCATCTGCACAGCCCCCAGCTGCATCATCTCCCCCTCATGCCACAAACATAGCATGCCTACTACGTGCCACATTCCAGGCACCAGACCACAGCAGTAAACTCAGACTGTTGGGGTCCAACCCCAGCAGGTCCAGGGGTTCCCAAAGGTGTGGACGGAATCGGCGAAGAAGGAATGACACGGAGACAGCGTTCAGTTGATCAGCAGCCTAGCCAGGTTCTCTAGCCAAGTTCTGTGTGTTTTATTGTCTTGTTACATCTGTATTTATACCAGTTGATTTTAATCCTCTCAATTTGAACATGTTTAGGGGGCCTTCTTGATTTAATTGTAGAGCTTTTGAGTGTATGGTTTTGTGTAGTTTTCTTTGAAGTTGCTCTATTAAAATATCTATACATGTGACTCATAGTCCACTTTTAGTAAAGTAGAAAACTTGGTTGCGTTTCGTTCCCTTTACTCTTCTCACTTTTAAATATCATGATCTTTAATATCAGATAATGTTATCATTTTTGTTTTAATCATTGCATGTGAAATAGAACTCACGAGAAGAACAATTTGCGCATATTTCTGCTCCTGCCATTTCTCTTTATTCCTTTCTGATGCTCCCCCGAATTATCTTATTTTTTTTTCAAGACTAGCTACAAAAATGTATTACCTATTTACAGAAAAGCATGCATATCATCAAACAAAACAAATAAAATGCTTTTTCTCACCATGTAACACATTTATTTGTTATTTTAAAAGCCACATCATAAAAATAAGACACAAAAAGCATTGGTAAGTGTCTTGTTGGAGTCTTTTAAAAGAGCTAATCACTCATCATTCGAGGCGCAATACTCATAGACATCAGCTCTTGAAACAACAGTTTGCACGCATAAGGCATCCGCACCAGAGAAATCTGGGTCTTATTCCGACAGCCCCTGCATTCGTACGTATGGGTCCTGGTGTTAGCAATCGCCATCATTCCACAAAGATTGCAAACATGAACCTGGTAGGGATCTGATGCCTCAAACAGTCTCTCCCTTAAGAACTGGGCTGCCCCGTGGGCAATCTGACAGTCTCGTTCCATTTCACCAAAACGCAGGCCACCATCCCGGGATCTACCCTCCATGGGCTGTCTGTTAAGGATCTGAACAGGCCCCCTAGCACGGGAATGGATCTTGTCATCCACCATATGCTTCAAGCGCTGGTAGTAAGTGGGGCCGATGAAAATCTGTGATGTGATTTTTCTACCAGTGAATCCATTGTACAAGACCTCATTTCCTCTTAGATGGTAGCCATAACTGGACAAAAGGTGAGAAATCTTCTGCACATTAACGGCATCGTTAAATGGAGTGGCATCACCAATTTCGCCTTTGAGAGCTGAAACCTTCCCTTGAAGACATTCAATCAAGTGACCAATGGTCATCCGAGAGGGGATGGCATGGGGATTTATGATGATATCAGGGGTGATTCCTTCGCAGGTGAAAGGCATATCCTCTTGTCTGTACTGAATACCACAAGTACCCTTTTGACCGTGTCGACTGGCAAATTTATCTCCAATCTGTGGAATTCTGACAGAGCGTACCCTGATTTTACAAAATTTATATCCTTCCTGGTTGAGAGTTACCATAACCTGGTCCACAATGCCTGTCTCACTAGTCCTGAGGAAAGTGCTGCAGTCTCTCTTGGTATAGCGTCTGTTCGTGCTCTCCAGCTCATCTTCATTTTCAGGCAGGGTGGCTGTTTTGCCTATAATAACATCGTCTCCTGATACACGGACCCCGGGAGCTATCAGACCATCATCATCCAGCTTGTCATAGACGGCATGCCTCATCCCCTGGCATGTTTCACGTGCAGGCTTCTCAAAAACTTCTTGGTCAAATCCTTTTTGGGACTCCTGTTCTTTGTATGATCGATAGAAAACAGACCTGAAAAGGCCTCGGTCTACCGCTGAACGATTCATGATAACGGAGTCTTCTTGGTTATATCCGGTGTATGATGCAATGGCCACAATTGAATTGATGCCTGCTGGCAACTCTCTAAATCGCAAATATTCCGAAGACCGTGTAGTCACAAGCGGCTTTTGAGGATAGTAGAGAACATGGGCCAATGTATCCATACGGATGTGAAAGTTGGTGATATAAACTCCCATGGCCTGCTTACCCATAGCCGACTGGTATGTGTTTCTAGGGGACTGGTTATGATCAGGAAATGGAATAATCGATGCACAGACACCAAGAACCATCGACGGGTGAATCTCACAGTGTGTATATGTGGAAGAGTAAGCTACTCCCTTGTCTTGCAAATCATTTGGAGTCATTGCCAGCATCACTGTTTCTTCTTCTAGAGTATCAACATATTCCACTACCCCACTGGCCACGAGATTCTGCCAGCCGTAGTTGTTATATTCTCTCTCTTTTAATTGATCAATATGTCTCTTCTTCAGCAGAAGCTTTTGTTCTTCCACAATCAGAAGTGGTCTACAAAGACGCCCGGCATCCGTATAGATCCGAATCTCCCTCTCTCGAATATCTCTGATCATAGAAACTTCAGACACAATGATGTCCATCTGACGCCGCAATTTCCTGAGAGTGTTCATAAGTTGTTCGGGATCTTTATGTATTCCCACCCAGCAGCCGTTCACAAAAATCTTGGTTGCGCCAGCAATCGCTGCGGGAGAAATTTCTTCTAAATTTTCCATACTCCATTCTTCTAAAAATTCCAGAATTGGAGAAGGTTGAGATCCAACAGAAATATAAGCCATCAGGGCTAAGTTCTTCACAAGTCCTACAGCATGGCCCTCCGGAGTCTCGGCAGGACACACCATTCCCCACGACGTATTATGCAACTGTCTCGGTTTTGCCAGCTTGCCGTCTCTACCGATCGGAGAATTTAAACGACGCAGGTGAGAAAGAGTAGATGCAAACGTCAGGCGGTTTAACACCTGAGATACTCCGGCTCTGGCTTGATGAGCTTTCCTTTGGTCACCCCAGTTTCCAGTAGCTAAAGAGTATTTTAGGCCATCAGCTATAATCCTTGTTTGAATTGCCAACTCCAAGTTAAAAT